ATATGCGAGATAATAGGGATAAATAAGTATAGAAATATGTGGATCTTTGAATAAATAATTAATTATTGTAGTCAATTTAATCAAATCGGCGATAGCAGTTGCATGTATAAAACAGGTTTTGCGAATGATGGTGTATTTATTACGTAATACCGCCATTGTATTAAATTATTTATAATATAGAAACGAGGATTCAGCCACACCAAACATCATTTAACACAGGTGCCCCCATGCAAATAACAAGCATTGTTTCATAACGGTCAGGGATATTTTTTTTGGCAGATCTATTACCATATATCCACCATCAATTACAATGATCGAAGAGAGGAGATGTGAGCCACATTTTGCAGGACGGGATCTGTCTATATCGAAAGATTGCTCTACGCGTGCATCGCCGTTTTCAACTGGGTTATTCGATAGACTGTTTGGCAATTCTCTAAGTTCGACTGCGATGCATGACTTGGACACAAAGGCTTGGGCATAGTAACAACAAATAAACATCGTCACAACATTAACAAACAGTAACATGAAAACAACAGTAAACATTTTCACAGATTCGGACTGTCTTATCAATAAGACTTGATGTTACAGAGTTCAGAATTCAAGCGTCACATACATTAATCTGTTATCTTACTTCCGTTTTTGTCTCACTACCAAAATGCATGTTCTCGATTTTGTTTTACGTAAATATGACTAAGCATCCTTATTTGGATGTTAACTCTACAATTTGCTGCAATACCGGTGTTGATCATGTTTTTTGTTCTTCCTCGAATGTACCGCGGACTAGTGTTTCTGTCTCTATTACATGAGAGCTGAACACGATTAAATTAGAATGAGAGAGATGCCGACGTGTGCAATGGAAAAACGAGTGGCAAGATTACATCAGCAATATTAAAAGTTATGCTTAATTATAACATATCATACAAGTATTGTAATTGTAATGTCTATTTATCGTTTCACTTTTCCTACTTTGTTGTTTCCTTCCTAAAAAGCTTGTGTGCATGCATGCCCTTTATCATGTGAATGGCTTTACCACTATACTATAGACAATAACTGGTAACAATCCTCACAAAATTTGTATTCTCAAGCGCCTTTACATAAGGCTGTAGTAATACCATTATTCTCGGCTAACAGACAACTGGCATAATAAAAAGCCAATTCGGGTACATTGTAACACGGGGGAGGCTTTTTTTTCTTCCTGAACGGTTTTGATACCTTTCGTAGCGTACCCAGATAGTTAATCTGCTCGGTGATAATGTGAGGAAGGGAACTTGTATTCTCATTGATCATTTCGGTAATACTATGATGCTTCAAGCTTTATGAACGAATTACGTAATCAACTACGTAAACCACACTAACGACCTGATCGACGATTCCATAACAGGCTTCCATATAGTTGTTTGTCAGAAATTAGGTAATGTGTCGACAGCGAAAACCTACTTAATCAGCTATTGCTTAATCATGAGCCAAGCCTAGCAGTGACTTCCCAGGATTAAATATTGTCACGCCACTATTACGCAGTGTACAAAGTAATTTCATAATAAACAACACCTCATCATGAGAAATTCTATATACATCATTGATAACGACATTTTTATTATATTCTGTCATACATCTGAAAAGTGAGTTCTCATCTAATCACTATCGATTTCATTATATCCGTCCTTCGCTCTGTTTGGTTATTTTCCTCATACTCTATTCATTTAGTTCGGATCAAATGGACGATTCAATAGATACAAGTGTGTTGAACGAAGGAATGATATTCTACTATAATGATGAATCTGACGATGACGACTCTTGTTTAACACAGGTACACTTTTTAACACCGTCGTTAATATGCCTGACCCGTGGGAGTTACTTAAAGGAACGCAAGTATCGAGTTCAGATTCTTTCCCCCGGTTGCTACGAGGATGAACACAAAAGAGACTGATGGGGATGCAAAGAAAGAACAAACGGCTAACGATACACCCATGCAGCAACGCAAAATATACGATTATGAAGCTTTAGATAAGCAGACTTGGGGAGGGTGGAGAAGAGAAAATATTGTCTGCGATCAGGAAATAATTGTAAACTCAAATACAGAGCTATCAGAAGACGACGAGGTGGTATTACCCAGAGACGAGTATATAGGTTCACCATTATACAGGGATATAAGAAACCAGATAAGAACAGATCGTGTGAAGAAACAGAACTAATCTCTGAAGAGTTACTTTCTGAGGATGTTGGGTTGCCAATAGATCAACACCCATCATGTCATGGATGAAGAGCTCACAACACAACCTTTCTTATTGCAGTATTGATAACTACTCTCCCAGTCATACTTCCCATACAAGTAGTTCTTTTTGCGATAATCCTTTCCTGATTGTCTTCACGAGTCACAATCATCGGATTCAGACTCGTCATCATACCCGTCATCACCGATCCACGTCTCCTCGTGACCCTGAACGCGATATTCCGGCAATGAGCGAAGAGATACGACGGGGCGATGTATAGATTTGAGACCGATCCGGGTGGCAGGATGAAGCAGGTTTGATGTGTAGTGGATGGGAGCATGTATGCGGACGATGAGGGGATGGATTCCATGGAAAATCAGTAAGAATCGAGAGTGGGGAATGACTATTATATGATAAGTTTACTGGCTGTTGTAATAAAACAAATGTAATATCTCTGTAAATAATCTTTAATAAAAATGATAGATTTTAGACTCTAAACTATTATTCAGGCTTATGTCTACTCTATATCCGTATTATTCATTTTATCAAAAGATGCTTCGAGGGATAGACACGGGTCTATTGGTGAACTGAAATTTTATGTAAGTGGAGATAATGTATGAAAAAAGCTTTGCTTTGATGTTAGTTGGTAACCGCAGTTTTATTCGGGCAGATTGCGTTCCAGTATTTGTAATTTGGACAGGTAACACCGCTACTAATATTGTAATATTAATGAAGTTAGTCAATATAGGCTTTGAACTTGGTTTTGCGTCTACCAAAAGTGAATTAGTATCGGGCAGGATTTGGTAAGCAATTGACGTATTCGTGTCATATTAGATCTGAGACTTTCCGATCGATGGAGGCCCATTGATGTTTATATGCACTCCGTCCATATCGGGGAAAACGGCAAGAACGTGTGTGTTGTTACACTGCAATTGACATAATAGTTGCAGTTTTGACAGGAATATAATAGATTGACCTGAACACAAATAACATTATGGAAACAAGGTAATACGATGACATTGTTAACATTATAGTTATTTGGTTTTTACTCCATAAACGATCGTTTTTTCTACCAGCGGTGGGCTCGCGCACGCCAACAGCCTCCCGCCGAAGCTAGTGACATATCATTCATATACAAGCAAAATTTGGTTTGTAAACGGAATGGCGATCACACTGTTCTTTAATCACACCCCTTTCATTCTCTCTGCCATAATTAGAATATTGCATGCATGTCTGAAGAACATATGACTCATATGCCTTGTGGCGTTTCTGACCTGTCAGGTATTTGTATACATTATTTCACTTCTGAATCTTTTTTTTTTGTTGCCTTTTATTAATTAGAATTTTTTATTGTATTTACTGATGTTTTGTAGTGGCGAACTTGAGTTACAACAATTTATACGATGCTGGTCAAATTTGCCTGTAGAATAAAGTAAACTCGTATATTGCGATTGACATCATAATTTCTTTTTTCCTCATTTATACGGAGCTGATGAGAAAAAGAACACTCTTATTGTAAGCTTCGATCGCAACTCGTTACATTCGTAATATTATTTTATAGATAAATTAATATAAGTAATTATTGATGACTCATCATCCACCATTTGTCTCTTTATATTACTCGCTCGTTAAGTGTCGTTTCAAAATACAATATTAATATAGTTAATTTGCGATTAATTTATTGTTATTAGTTCATCTATGGAATTATTTTTAACAGTTCGCTTCCACTTAAATCAATCGAATACAAAGACGACTATCTTTGGGAGTTTCGGTCTATTTCTAGAATAAGTACTGATTCATTAATGTCCTATTATTGATTAGAATATACGTCATGCCATTCTCAATCTTCACTTTCGCGTTTGATTTTCCGATTCCTATTATTTATTATTATTGCTGTTTTCAAAATAGTGCGACGATGATTTTATAAAAACGTGACTACAATCAGCCAATAGAATTTAAGGAGAATAGTGTTACACGATAATAATAAATTGCTATTACTACCACTCAACCTTCGCAAATGGAGATTTTAAAAGATAAAAACCATGACAATCACCGTGACACTAAAAAAGTCACTAAGGCGCGGACATATCGGATGATGAGGTACTATGTATTACGTCTTAATGATCAACGTTACATGTACGCGATAATAATGATCTTTTCCCCTTAGAAATACGGATACAAGTGAAAACGAAGAAAGGTGGGCCGTCAGAAGAAAAAGAAAAAGAAAAAGAAAAAGAAAAAGAAAAAGAAAACAAAACATTCAGGCCTTGACAAGGCAACCGAGGAGAGGGCAACAAAGACAAATGGAATAAGGAATCGATATTACTGATGCAGTGAACATGATCACTCGTGCTTAATGGTTGTCTCAAGCTCACAGCAATGACTGGGTATATATCAAAAAGTAACGTTTCTTCTTCTTTCTTTCGATCATTCTCATGCCATTTACAGACTCAATCTGCCTTACATACGCCTTGTTATGTGCCACCGTCAATCACCCATTTCACATTGATCAATATTGCATAAGTGACTTATCAATAAAGAAACTTCTGTTGAGTATAGTAACTAACTTGTATTAAGTAGACCTGCTAGTTGTTCCCAGAGAGTGTCGGTTATCACAGCTTGCAGACGGTTTCAGTGTTATTTGCTTGTTTTCAGGTATTATCGCAATAATGCTAGTATCGATTCGTCGAATCGTCCAAAGAAGACTAATCATTGACTAGTTGAGTTTACTATGAGACGGAATAATGCTCCCGGCATTTATGGCAATACGTAATAAGGCGGAGTATTCTATACCAATTTCGTAGTTTGGTGTCGTCCACAGTAAAAAATATGGGCAATGATTTTTCTGTCGTCTAGGATTTCGATCGATCGGATCTGGTTATCTAAAACGAAGACTCTAAAGGTTATCGGATATATCCATCTAAGGGAATCACATGGTTTGGTTTCTATCTTATCGACGGAAATTTCATAAAAGGCATTCCAGTATGTAGGTTAATAATACGGATAAAACAATACTTGTATTCGTTTTTTTTACGAGTTTGACATTATAGTCAACCCTCTCTAAATGCATGCCCTTGGGAATGAGCTGAGCGTGCATTTAGAGAGGGATGCATTTACAGAGAGTCAGAATTTTATTAGTTACACGTGACTTGATATATATTATTATGTTTAATCAATTATCGTTGTTTGCTTCATTATTATTATACTCACTGATTTTAAACTAATGTAACGTTCAAGCACTCTCACGTGTTTAGATTCTTGTTGTTGCTGCAGAAATGAACAAACAGTTTCTAAACCATTTTCAACATTGTTGGCATTAACTACAACACTATCATCAATATCACCAACATCAATACTGTATATTTCAATAAGTTCTTCAATCAACGTATTATTGTCAGGCACTCCATAAGTTCTTCCTTGCGTAAACTCTCCAGACGTTGGCACACTGTTTGTGTTAGGAATCTCAGTTAGCTCGACATTGTCAACATTAAATTTATAAAATGAATTGCCCTCTTTGTTGTTTGTTCGACATTAAATTTAGAGTATCCAATCATCTCCTAGACATAAAATGTAACACATAGTACAAATCACATGAAAATCACGGGCGTGCATTTAGAGAGTGTGCATTTAGAGCGGGTTGACTGTATTTTCTGAGTTTATATACTACCCCGACAAAGGACCTTACACTTACTCATACTAAAAATTAAGTAATTCCTGATAAACATTTTCTGAGAATTTTATCAGAAGGTGACGGACGAAAATAAGAAATCACAGGCCGCCGCCGCCGCCAAATTTCTTAACTGTACGCGATAAAACATAATAAGAATGACGTCCAGGTTTCGCGTTAAAATAGCTCGCGGATTTGATTAAAACTGACCGTAGATATCGCCAAACGGCTAAAAGCGGTCAAGTCAATTTTTTCTACCACGTTGGTGCTTATGAGAACTGAACAGCAAAAGGTTGTCAGTTTTTGTGCTATTTTACACTATCTCAAGTTATGCAATTGCAAGTGCTGCAAGTTGTGTGGTGAATATGTACGTATTCTTATATCTTTTAAATACAAACAATTTTATTTTAAAGTTAAAAATAATGCTCTGCTTTACAATACGCCAACGCATACGAACCTACATTGAATAAAATTGTTCACTAACAAGAAACAGACCTACCAACAATTTCCAGTATATTTATATGATTATATAATTTTACAATAGTAAATAAGTATTGAAAATAACCCCCAAAAGAAACTTTGCTATTAAGTAGAGTCTTGTATATAAGTAATACAAATTTTTGACGTTCGTGCTGACTTATACTTTTCCCCTCTACTCAGTTGTGCAACTGTTTAGCTGGCAACAATTTCCTGAATTATTACACCAAAAATCCGCAATTGTTCCTTTTATAAGAAAAAATTATTTTCGTGGCCATCAGATAATCGTATTCGGTAGTAGTAGTTGTAGATGCATTGTATTTTGTGATTGGATACAATATTCTACGTTTCTGTCAAACATTGAGTAATTAGTCACGTCTTTTTGTGTTGCGGGTTGGCCCATTAATTTTCTGCACACGCGGTAACGTAACCTTCATTATAAATTAAGATAGTATATCTTTTAATTCAAGTCTCAAGATTGTAGTATAATTATCTGCACATATTATGACTAACGGCAATAATATGTTAATAATTGCAATATCTTGAAAATTGGATCCAAGCCAAATGGGTTCACTACTGTGACCTTATTATAAGCAGATTTATCAGCGCTAATCTTGTTCATAACTATTAAAATTTAACAAACCTGATTAGAATGTATTTTAAAAAGCGGTAAAAAAAAAAAACAACAAAATTTTAATTTCACTGAATATATTACAGATGGTTACAGAAGCAAAATGGTCATAAAAGCAGCGGTCGGTTTAGCCAGAAAAAAATTTTAATTAATAAACTTTGGTATGGTCTTGAGGCAACCGGGGCGGTTTGGTCAGCCCGGTTTGAACAAATTTACCTCTATTGGCATGTTGTTGCTCGGGATAACTGATAAAGCATATCAAACCAAATTGTAAACCGCTACCATAATAGTTTAGGTATCAACAAAGTTGTTAATTAATTCTTATTAACTACTTAAGACTTTGCAAGATGAACGATACCAATGACAAAGAATTTATAAAAATTTAATGTAGGCGTAAAATATCAAGAAATTTTGTTCCCTTAAGTCTACTATTCAAGACACAATTTCCCTAAAGGAGACACCATAGTACACCCAAAGTAGGTGTCTTCCTTTGTTTGATAAGATG